TACAGCAGGTATAAGAAACATCAGTGAACAGCAGACTCATCCCGTTTGAGGTCAACAGTCTTTGGAAGACAATGAGGAGGGAGTTTAAAACTATGACAAAATCAAATAATAGTAACAATAATGAGGTAAACTCCCCTAAAAGGCCAAATGAGCTGAAATGTCAGGAGACAGTTCGATTGTACCTGACACCCAAATGTTTCTGTAGCCAGAGTTCAGCAAGCTGCATGGTAGAGGCAAACGTACTTGCTTTGGACCCTAAGCACATTTTATATTGTTTCGGATCTAAATTGGGGTCACACTGAACTGGATGAAAAATATGGACAACTCCTACTTCTTGACTTCTGAAAGCCTTCAAGCCAGATGTTATCACTTTAGTAAAGAGGTCTACATCCTCAAGTCCCCAGCCTTGAATTGAGGTATCAAATCCACCAGCAGTAAGTAGATCACTTTTGTAAATACAGGTAATTCCAAATCCATACTCCCTCCAAAATCCAGTTCTTCTTGTGAAAACAAAACTACTGTCAGCTGGAGGGTTGCCTCCATATATTACTTTTGGATCATATTGGCTGAAGATGATAGGGTAGTAAACCTGTTCTCCCTGAATAGTGTTATCTCTGCATCGCTGGAGGAAGTCTGGTGTGAATACCAGATCAACATCACAGAACAGCAGCAAAGTGCCATTGTCGAATCGAGATGAGGCCATTTCAAGACCTAAACCTCTAGAAAACTTTCCTGCCATTGGAATCAGGGTCATATCTGCCTTAGGATACTTAATGCTGTATTCTTTCATTAGGTCTATGTGTTTGCTGGAGTCTTGGCCCGACTCGGAACTGAAGAGAATTATTGCCAACTTTACATTCTGCCGGGGAATCAGACAAGTCTTCTCAAAGTTATCCATAAATCTTGAGAAAATGTCAAATCTTCCTGTGAGAGGGACAAGAATATGTATTTTCTTGTCACTGCGTCCCCCAACATCTTTGGTGCCTTGGAACGGTGAGGAAAAAATCTTTAAAGAATTTGAAAGAAAAGAGAAAGATTGAGTGTCAGTGTTGGTATCCTCCAGCAGGCTTCTTACATCCAGCTCCTCTGCTTCTTTGAAGAAAGGTTTGCTAAACAATTGCTGAAGGTAAGCGTGGCGTCTCACCGGAACTGTAACTTTCCTTCCTTTGTGCCTTTTGTACAAAAGCAGTAAATCCAGGATGTACTCCACTCCATGCAGAGGGTCCACCCTGCGGTAGCCATACTGTATTTCCTTGAAATCAATGAGCCTTCCTCTAGATCTAGAGTTCTCATTTATCATTTCCATGACTTGCATCACGGTGTCATCCAGTGCAGCCCGCAGGACGCTGCTCAGGCTCTGCCGGGGTGGCTGGTTCTCCACCATCGAGTAAAGAAATTTTCCTGTCAGGAACTCCCACTGGATGACTTCATCCCTTTCACGTGGCTGGAAGTGATTGAAAGATGGCATCACTCCCAGTTGCTGATCCTCCTTATTGACTTCACTGTTACTGAGCTTGCTCATTAGGGCACTTTCCCTATGGAGCTGGATGGTCCGATAGCGCAGTTCCGAAATTTTGCGACTCAGTATGTAGTTGTGCAGCCTGTATTGGTAGGCTGGTCTTTTGTTGGGGTGAAGAGTTATGGCTGTGTGAATCTTGCTGTTGTGAAGATCTTGAATGTAACCCTCGCGGTTGTGTTCATAGTTTTCATGGAACAACTGCTGCATCTAGAATGTGAGAGAGAGAGAGAGGGGAAGAAAAAAAAAGGCATTAAGTGGAAGTGCTTCTACCCACGAAAGGACCCACATCGGTGCTGCTGATCCTTACTAATTCTTATAGATCATGGCTATTTTTAGACACAGAACTATAAAGTATTCAGTAGGAATTATTTACACAGTTTTGGTCTCAGTTTCACTATTGTCCATACTAAGCAAATATTGTCCTCTAACTAACCAGAAGGGCAGGTATCTTGGGTATAAATTTACTTCATCTAACTGCAAAACTGAATGAAACACTTAACTGAAGGTCTGTAGGCAGTATTTCTGAGTTCCTAGGTGCAGGCTGAATGCTGCTATGCATGAAACACTAAATCTTCACCTACATCTAAACCCTTCTTAGCACAGATTCTTACTGAAAGGTTAACAACACTGATGAAGTTTTTTAAGAGGACCTTGGATTTATGTTAATGGAACACAAAGCTGCTTGTATTTCCTACAGACATACGCAAATGGATAGTGCTACTTAACATTCAAAAACTGAATGCACTTCATTTCAACAAAACTATTTTTTTTCCCATGCGGACAAAGAATTCAATGACTGAAATATAACCGTTGGAATATGTGTGTTGGCAGGGATACATAGAACAGAGTATGTCAATGAAGCTATAGATCATGCTAGTATAACTCACCCTGAGTAATTTCCAGTGTATTTCTGTGGCAAGAAAAGACAGTCTACTTCTGTCAAATTAGTAATTGTAGTATCTTCTAAATAGTGGAGAGATACATTTTACGGCTGAAGCACTGGTCTAGGATTTAAAGTAGCCGGCCTTTTTACCTTTCTGTGCTAACAGCCAAACTATGAGCAAATCACAAAACCTTCTTTGACTCAGTTTCCTCCCTAAAAGAAAACTTAGCTCATTATTAATTTAATGCAATGAATATTTATTCTTAAATGGGAAGTGATATATGGAGGAGTAAAATATTAACATCATAAATACATTTAAGACCCACTGCTCTTTGCTAAGCTAACACCTGCTAACTCCAGAGAAAGAGAATTATTTCCCATGAGTAGCAGATAAAGGAGAAGAGGCTGCTCTTTTTCATCTGTGGACTGGTCTGTAATTAATACGTCAGGAAAATGTGCTAATTAGATAGAAAATGTTGTTCAAGGAGGTGGTGTAAACTTGAGCTATAATAAGATTTTGGGTATTGAAGTTTGTCTTTTATACATTGATGAAATCCAGAGAGGTGAGGTTTGATGATACAATGTCTCAGACTCAAAACATTTAGCTCCTTTTACTGCAATTCTTTCTAGAACAGAGGTTTTGCTACTAGAAGTAGTATTAAGCATAGGGCAATAAATGTAAAATAACTCCTAACAAAGCAAAGAACCATGACAATTATTTAAAATTCATTAGCATGTACAAGAAATACACATTGTCATCTTTAGAAAAACAGAATTTTAATGCAAAATTTCTAGAATCTCCCTCCCACCCCACTCAGACCCCAAATGACTCTGCTTGAGCAAAGATAGCTACTACTATTAGTCAGGTCAGCATTTTTGAGGCTACAGTCATGTAACATGGAGAAAAGCAACAGCCTAATTCTGAGAACTACTTTAAGTTATCTTAAATTTGCCTTTAATAAAACCGGTATGTCTGTTACATTAAAGTGAGAGTGAGAGTGAAAAAACACACATCGTTACAAAATGACTCAAATACTCCTTATTCACAGGACTCCTACGTAAAGCTGTCAGAGCACGTTTGTTCTGTCTTGGGAGGTGGGTATTTTGCTTGTCATGTGAGATGAGATGAACCATGGACATGAGGGTTTGGGTGATTTCCTTGCTATCACAGAGGACGGGAACCAACACCATTGCTACTGAGTCAGTGTTTAACCAGCAGTGCTGGCAAAATCAAAATACGGCTTCCTCGAGGACAAGAGATGGACACTGGCAGGACAGGCAGATTAGAGGTTAGGGATTGAATCCCAGAGAAAAGTGCCTGGGAAAGGGCTGGGTGAGGATATTTGCTCTTTGGAAGAATCATTTTCCCTTCTCCCTCCAGAATTTACCTTTTGAATAATGAAAAAAGATCAGCTGATCAGGTGAGACTGCCATCTCTCCAGTTATAAGCCACACTCTCTTCCTGGCCCCTTTTATTTAAAGCTGTCTACTGTGTGCTCTGCAAGGTGACTGTGCTTTTGTATTCTCCACTTTTTCTGGAAAAAGTTGAATCCATGATTTTCACGTTTAGAATTTCACATTAAAATCCCCTTATAGGAAAATAAAGAAAAAGAAAATGTGTAACGTTGAAAACAAAAAAACAGAAGGGGAGGCTCTTGGGCTGCTGAATGGTATCAGCATCCTTTCCCACAAACCCTGACACTCCAATCTTTCCTAAATCTCCTCTAATCATAAAGAATCATTTGAGTTTTTCTTCGTCCACAATGAAGAATAGTATTTGAGTATAAAACTGAAATAACCATTAACTACCTTTACACATTTAACTTACGGTACCTGAATTTTCACAGTAAGTTTTATTTAAAGTAGTATAATGCATTTTATCCAAAAGATTTTTAACAGATGACAAACTATCGCTGTAAAACTAAATGCTGTCCTCCTATTGTGCAAACTCTTCCGTAACCTTTGACTTATTACAAGCTCAGTTTCACCGCAGATTCACTAGCAGCACTCATTTAACAAGAATATTCCATTAACATAAATACGGCATTTTTATTACATTCCAATTTCAGATGCCTTAGTTTATTAGATATGCTCCACTGAAATCATAGTGAAAGGATGTACTCCATTATACTAATGATTTTGCTTTTGATAATCAACAACAGATTAACAGCAGCAAATGAAAAAAAAATTTGAATCAACTCAGTAATACAGTATTATCACATATATATACAAAACCGTACCAATCCATTTTAAATAATGTTACTGAACACTTTTAATATATCTCAATACAGAGAAAACAGTTCAGAACAAATATGACACTGAAATCATAAACTCTTCCTGAAGGCAGCAGGTTTTAATCTTGGTGCCACACAGAAATTTGTTTTCAATATTGCGGGACAAAATTACCTTTTCACAACTCAAATTATTAACATCTAGATGAAAGCAATTCAATGTGACCCTAACTTTGCTTTGAAATTTCTAAGCAAGGTGCTCAAGCCTACGAGGCAAAGAGAAAGATGATTAAGTTTTCTGGAGAATGGATCTGTACAAGGGCCTGAATTGGTCAATGCAATCGTAAGTGATCTGGAAAGGGAGGTGATCTGGGAGGTGGCGAGATTTACTGAACCTAAATTATTCAGCATGGTAAAAGTAAACCTGCCTGCTAAAGTACTCATGATTTTGAATGGCTAGGTAATAAAATGGCAGATTAAATTCTGTGTAGATAAATGCAAAGCACATGTGAATAAGGCAATCCTAATCAAACCTGAAGAATGGCAGACTGTGTGCAAACTGTTAGCACTCTGGAAAGAGAACCTAGTAGGCAATTCTATGCAAATGTCACGTCGATGTTCAGTAGCGATGAAAGGAAACGCAAATAGCATGAGAACAAGTTTAGAGTGAATCAGAAACGTCATTATATGGTTGTGTCCATAGTGTGCCTGAATCTTGAAGGCTGTGGGCATGTACCTTGTCAATATTGTGATGTCCCATCTGAAATCGATACCTTATGAGTAGAAAGGTACTAACCAAGGCCACCAGATGATCGCACACGTGGATCGTTAGATGAATAGATGACTAGGGCAAAAGGGAGTAATCCAAAGAGGGCCAACCCTGAGATCATAAAGTCAGTAGCACCACAAGGGAAATGGATAGGAATAGTCACCGTCTCTTCTCACATAAAGAACTATGACACATACAAAAACGCTCTCAAGATTCAAAAACATAAAAGGAAATACTCACGTAGCTCAGCCACAGAACTTGCTGGCACAGCAAGCTGCTGGTGGTAAAATTTTACATGGCTTCAAAGAGTGAGCCAACAGCTTAGTGGGAGATTTCCATCATTGCCATGTTAAACACAAAGGTACACTTTCTCCACAACATTGCTGTACTGCAGACTCCTGGAGCCCCAGCTGAAACTATATGACAATAGGTCTTTATTGTCTTAAACCCCTGCCTTGGCTTCTTCTACTGGTTACTGCAGAGAGAGGATATTTTGTCAAATGAATGTTTAGTCTGACATGATACATCCATGTTATGTTCACTGAAAGCAGTGAATGGGAGAAGTTGTCTTCAATTCAATATAATACATGGAGGCACAACATTCTGTTTTTTTCATACTGCATGACTTTGTGACTTTCCTGAAGAGATTGCTGTCTTCTGAACAATTCTTACAGCACAACTAACACAAGAGTTGGCAAGGACTTCTGCTGGCCTCTTTCCATGCCAGCTGAAACTAGAAGCTGGGAAGAAATGTGAATAATCTAATCGTGCTCTGAGGAACTCCGAACTGCAAGCAGGAATAAAAAAAATGAGAAGAAACAAACTAGAATAAAGGCAATGCTTTATTATCGTGGCAGAGAAATACAATAGCTAATACGTAAGCACAATGTAATTTGCATTGCAAGCTCTGAAATCATTGTAATCTCTGTGATTTACTGATGTAATAAAAAATGAAAGTTCTTGTTACATATACACAAAAGGCTAAACCGACCTACTTTATTATTGCAAGACTATCACATATTAAAAGATTGAATGCAAATGGTGCTTTTAAAATTAACACAATTTTTCTCTGAGCATTGTTTAAGAACAATTTCTCCCATTTAACAGAGAAGACATGGAACTTAATCCTCCATCCACTCTAGCTCTTCCTAAATCTACAGTAGTACTAAACTGTTGACCATTTTATCTAAACTGGACTTTTCATAAACTTAGAAATAAGATGAAGAGGAACTATTCCTGGTTTTTCTTCACCCTGCTCTTTAGAGTTTAGCTCTCCTAAAGATCAAGATTTATTCACTATTTCCAGTGACTTCAAGGGGCATTT